ATAAACTATGTATCATCATCTACAATAATGATAGTTAATAGTTGAATGACTGCTTTCATTCCAAATTGCCTACGAAAACCGTACAACGCAAATCCCTTTAATGAAGGGCGCACGCATCCGCATCATCCATCCCAGCCGCTTCTACCACCATCCAGTCCAGCTTTCCCCTTCTCTTCCATGCCGATAGGAACTCGGGTTATGATCTGCCTCGACCAGCCATCCGGAGCAATGACTGTCTGTTGCACCAGGCGATACTTCCTGACCCAAGGAAATATTGCTGCCCAAAATAGCCAATATATAGCGCCCACCGCAAAAATTCCGAGTCCAACAACGCAGTGGATATAGTATGGCAAATGCACATAGACATTGTGTTCCTTGTCTGGCGGCGGTAGATAGGGTGCCACTGCTAGGAAGACGTTGGAAAGCAAGAAAAATATGGTAACGAGCCGGTTGGCACGCACGGTCGGTGACCAGTCCGGGTAGCTTTTCGGAAACATATAAATATGCAACAAACCGGCCGAGACAAATATATTTACGACCGAGAGCGGATACGAAATCAAGCTGGGAGGAAAAAGTCAGATACATATATGCATGGCGAATGGAGGGGATAAAACTAACTTGAGCAAGAAGTTGTATGCGTCTCCTGGTGGTGGAGCAAGCATAACAACGGCGGATATAAGATAATGCTCGAACAGCCCTGCGGCCGGCGAATTGAAAGGCCTATTGCTTGCCCAGAACCTGGAAAATGGCAGAACCCCTTCCCGGCCTAATTCTTGGATAACTATTGGCACATCAGCCATCAATTTTTTTCGGTTGCTGGCATGCATGTCGTGTACTCACTTCTTCCCTGGGAAAATATAACAGACTGAACATTCCCGAAGGCACACAAAGCTATAAAAATGGATAAAACCCTCTCTGCCTTGGGGCCAAAAACATTTCGAAAAAAGGAAGCGGCCAGGATACGTCCAGAACCCAAGATCTCTTGTTTCGGGACAACAGCAAAGTATGCAACATTGACCAGCATATACAAAACGCTGGCAAGCCCCACCCCTATGGGCGCGGCGATTTTCAATGTTCGAGCTGGATTTCTCGTCTCGCTCAATGACTGTTGTTGGCATGTAAGAAACAGATAATAAAATCAGGGGACAGAACTTTGCTAACTCACATAGTTTGCATTCGAATATCCAACGTACGACCAGATCACGCTGTACAATGCCGTTACAATCCCATATACACTTGGAATACTTCCTTCAAACGGTCGAGAAAAGTTATCAGGTTTCTCCATGGTCAAGTGGCCACCAAGAGCCACGGCCCCTCCAACCACTATAATGAGGATTACAAGGAACTTCAAAGCGCCAAGGAGATTTTGCAGGCGTAGGCCCCATTTGACGGCTGTTGCATGTATGAGAAATGCCAAGGTGATACATGCAAAACCGATGCCCCGTTGATTCCATCGGTTTACCTCAATGTCCGCCGCATGAAGGACATATTCACCAAACGCAACGCTATTACCTGCCGCCCAACCTAGAAACAGGGCATACGAAGCAAACATCGCTGTGACTAGGAATTTCGGCTTGGTATACACGTACTCGAGATAATTTTTTTCCCCTCCGTTTCTACCACTTGTTGTTAATACACAGAGTTATTGCTGTTGGGAAAATGATGCCGGAGGGAAAAGGTCAGGCAGGTAGGTACCTTGGGATTGTAGTTCCGAATTCAAGGTAGACTGCCGTGCCAGTCATAGCAATAACCATTCCCATGATCCATACTATTAAAGATAGTCCGACACTACCTGTGAGTGCCATAATGGTACTGGGAGTTGCAAATATACCTGTTCCCATGATCCTATTAAAGATCAAAAAGGAAGCACTAATGACACCTATCTGTCTTCGGTTTTCAGGGCATTGCTCCGTCACGCTGCTGGTATCTACGAATACATAGGACGTCAGCCACAATCGGCAACAAACTTTTTCAGTTTTCGCAAACACAACGCAGAACAAAATAGAGGATACCAAATGAAACGGAAGGATGTGGTATTCTCACACCGCTCAGTAAGCCCTGAATTGCCCGAGCTCCTTTCGCCCATACTTCTAGAGCTCCTATGCTGCCTTGTGCTTCCTGATATCACAGCCCGAGACGAAATATCCTTGCAGAACGGAGATGCGCTTGATCGAACATCTGGTAACTGCGACATAGAGTGCCCCCATAAAGATAATCTCCGTTTATGTAAGGCAAAGTCTT